AGAAGAGTCCAAGCCACGGGGGGGGGGGCGTTTTAATATTAGGGGGAAGGGATTATGTATGTACGTATCTATGTATGTATGTATGTGTGTGTGTATATATATATGTATATGTACACATGCACGTGTTCGCAGCTTGATATGGTTAGATTCAGATATAGAACTAGATACAGGTTTGCACAGTCTTCGTTAACCGGGTGTTGTCAGTTCATGGGACTAGTTCATGGTCCTGCATGATCTCGATGACGCTTTCCTTTGCCCCTGACTCAACCCGAGAGCGTTGACTTCAACCTGTGAAGCTAGACTCTTACTTTCCCACTCCATTTGCGGAAGATCTCGAGCGCTTTCTGACGCCAGAAAAGCTTCTTCGCAGGGCTCTGGGATCTTGCATCTGCAGCCGCGAGCTTTAGCCTAGAACCGTGAAGTGCATGATCCGATGTATTCGGTCCTGAGCCCCGTGTTCGATCCTAAGCTATGCGAGAAGTGTTGAATCCAGTATACCATGCTGTGATCATCTTCTTCAGGTGACCACTTCAGGAGTAGCCAGCAGTGGTAGTCGAACGAGGCAAGAAGTGCGATGACCCCCATTATCACATGTTATGACAAGGAGCTGTGAGGGTAGCATTCAACCTCTTACCATCCAAACGAGGAGCCTGGTACAGGACCAGCAGCAACGAGACAAAGACCGCTCCCAGGATTCCCCTGCAAAGGAGATCTCGAAGTTTGGGTTTCAAGGTAGTAGGCTAAGCTTGGCGCAGTCAGTGTTCAGTGGCTCCAGGTTGAGTTTTTCTCCTTATGGTTCATTTTATGGCCATGCCTATGGTCTGTTGCCTGGGACTGTAACAGCCAAACTGCCCCTATGAGTGAAATGACGGGAGTGTATGTGACAGACTTCGCACAGGTCCTTCCAGACACTCTGCATTCCAATTGCATAGCGGTACCAGCCACGCGGTTGGGTAACGGGCAGAGCTGTGCGGACTCAAGGTTCGGGAGTTGGTTTGGGTTTGAAGCCTCTGGGCCCTCTGCGCGAAGCCTCTGCTTCCATGATAAATGCAAAATTTCCCCTGGTTGAGGATTGTAACGTCGAAAGCTGGCACAATGCACCGGTCTCAAATTCCCGTCCCGTTAAACCTGAAACACTGTCCCAAAATGTGCAATGTGAGTAATGTGCACCGGTGAAGACCGCCAAGAAGCGGGTTAGGCTCCCGACCACACAGCTGAAGCGGACACCCTAAGTGTACTTGCCTTCTCTTGTTGACGCATGCTGGGTATCGGCATATTTGTTCAATCGGAACTCCCCTGTTCTCTTTTCGCTTACCTTTTGGAAGGGGCGGCATCCTGTTTGCGGCGTCGGAGCTGCGCTCGAAACCTTTTTCAGCTGGACCCGGACTGCTACAGCAAGCCACTGCTCTCAATAACATATTATCTTTGACTGGCTTGTCCCCGCAGCGACCCCTGAACAAACTAGCAACAATCCAAACAAGCCCTCAATAACTGCAAGAAGCATACTACTTTAAATGTATAAGGACAACCTGCTCCCCCGCCCTAAACCTCAATGTGCCGGATAAATTCACCAACATCTTAAGACTTAGGACTTAGGCGGGCTTGGGTGGCTGACCGAAATGCACCGAAGAAGAGGGTGAACAGGAAGGCAGTCCACCATACCTGAGGGAGTTTGCGAAGGGTTCTGGCTGGAGGGGTAGTTTTGGCATCTGAAGCTTGGTCAACCTGCCAATGGGAGGACTTGAAAGAAAAGGCCGAATTGGGGAATTGGTTCAGGGTTTCAGGGCATGACGCAGGACTCAGGAAGCAACTCAGGAAACTGGAGACCAGCGAAAGAAACAGCACAAGGACACGCTGCCAAGGACTACCTGGCTATCAGCCGAGATAGCAAGTGCACACCAACCTGAATGTACTCCTGTTGCGTCTCCCCAGATCTGGCCTTCAAAAGCTGAGCCCGGAAAAGAATGCGTGCTCGCATCAGATGGGAGGCAAGTCTTCAGTGCTTTCGCTACAAGAAACCTGGTCATGTACCTGCCCGCGCAGTCTACACCGTCCCAAGCTGGGCCTGCTACAGGGCTTTGTGGCTAACGATTCGGGTTGGTGCGCAGCGGACACCACCAAGGATTTCACGAGGAAGGTAAACAACGTACGCTTGCTTCTTTGAGGCCTCAAACGCACCCAGCATTTGGTGGGATGGTCTGGGCAGCACCGGCATGAGAAGGCTACGCTTTTCTTCTGAATTGCCGAGTGTCTCTTACAAGCCTTGCAGTGCAACAGACCCGTCCTTACACGAGCCATAAAGTCAGCAAACAATCCGAAGACCCCGCACAGCAGTGTTGTCTTTTCTGTCCGGTCATCCGTGGGCTCCGCCCGAGCGTCTGCCCCAGCGGTTTCGCGACTGTCCCTCCTGCGAATCGAGGATGTCGTCTAGATGCTTTCAGTATCAGCCCCTGCAAACCCCGAATCCCAAGTGCAGAGTGGAAGGTCCTGCAGCTCTACCGGAGAAAACACGGCTATAGAGGCGCTGCTGCTTTTACTCGGTCTCCTGTGCATGGCTGTCGTAGCCAGAGTTGCTGCTCTGGACCTTGCCCTTGCCCTTGCCCTTGCCCTTCCCGAATCCTCGGCTGCATGTGTTGCAGGACATTTCTACAGTTCAGATGAAGACTCTTCACTGCCTACAATGCCACATGCGCAGGAGTTCCTGCATCAATGTTGTGGCAAATCTGAGGAAGGCTTCCGCAAGCAGTCTTACACCAAGCCACTGCAGGGCACTGTCTTGAGCCCTTGTCTTGTGCTGATGGGGGCTCAAACCAGGGAGCCGTGACCTCACACTAAATCTGCCACTGGTACGAGTGACATTGGCGGTGGCACCAGTACTCATTATATGATTATAGGCTAGTACTCCATGGTCTTCCTGCTCTGCGCATCACCCCAATTCAATTGCCCCAATAAAACCCTGAGGCCAACAGAAACAGCCAGAGGTGCGCGTGGCATTGCTTTGGGTCCAGTCCGTCCAGTCTGCTCTTCCCCATTCCTGTGCCCCGGTATCCGGCGGGCCTAGCAGGGCGTCGAGACTTCAGAGATGAACTTAGGCATCGGCGTGGACGCTAACGGACTGTTTTGCATTCATGCAACTTTGGCGTTTATAGGGAAGCTGAGGAGGCTTGGATGGCGAAAGCGAGCGGCGGAAAGCCCAAGAAGAGCCCAAGCCTAAGGCGTTTCAGCTGGAAACTCTTCAAACTGCAACCCTGAAAACACAAATCTTTCAATCAACACCACGCACCCCTCTCAAGACATGTGCCAAGGACCTACGCCACGCAACCCGCACATTCCCAGCCTCTCCACGCTGCCTTTTGAGATCCCCCAGGCGACTGGAGACAGGGGAGTCCAAAAATGAAAGTTGCACTCTTCGACCCCCACCCCCACCCGACTGTCGACGCAGGTTGAGTCCCTGCCTGCGCGATGGACACGTCCCTTGCATTTACCCAGGCCAGGGCGAAGCCAAGATCAACCAATATTGAATCCTGGTTGACTTGCTTCACGCGAACTTGCTGGCCGGGCGTGTAGCAGAGATCGCTTGCAAACTTCGCGTCGATATGTAGGACGGCCATGCATCCTGGAATTATCTCCTGCACTGGATACACTTCCACGTACAAATCTGCACTTTGCCCCCCCCCTCCCGAAACCAGAAAATCGAAAATTAAAAATAGAGAATCTGACCTACGTCCACCACCTTGTTCACTTCTGTAGAATGGGGGATCTTTTGAGATGAGGGGCTTTGAACTGATAAAGGTTTGGCAATTTGGGGTCAGGAGCGTTGTAGGGTCGAGTCCTGAGTCCTTTCGGGAATTACATTCTATCGGGTTCCAACTCTCGCCAAGTTAGACCTCTTTTTGGCTAGAAGATGCTTGGGGCTCATGGTCTCAAGAGTCTTCGACCCGGGTTTTGTGCCCGAGCGAACAAGTTCTCAAAATTGCCGAGTTCCGGCCTGATGGAGGACAACGCTTTGGGCTGCAGATCATTCGGGCTTCTATGGCTTTTCATTCGGGCTTCTATGGCTTTTGGTAGGGACTGGAGGGTTAAGTCTCGACTGACAAGCTCTTATTTTGAGCCTGGCCAAGGCATATAAACGGGAGAGCTCAATGCTCAAAGACTCTGTAATTCTAAGCCCCAAGTGTCTCAGGAAAACTTTCTTCTTCTAGGCTCTCTCCTCTCTCTGATTCCAAACAAATACAGCCTTGCTGAGCGAAAGCCGGGCATCGGAATCGGACCAGATCTTCTGCTGCTCTGCAGCAGCCGCCTTGGCTTTCTGGGCTTCCGCCGCCTGGGCTTCGGCCTCCTGGTGCAGATTTTCGGGCTTTGTAAGGTTCTTTACAGGTTTCTCAGATGTTCTCAGAGCTTATGTATAGGGCTTATATAATGAAGGTACTGTATTGAAGGTTTTGTGGGGCGTTACGCCGGGCTTGCAACAGTCCATGGGCCCATCATTTGAGAGTTTTATGGTTTGGGTTGAGCGACAGCAAGAAGGTGGAGTTCAATGGGCTCTTTGTGTGTGTTTCTCACCTGCGAGTTTTGCGATGTTCATTTTGGGTTCAAGCCCTGCTGAGCTCCTCTGCCAAAAAAACTGCCCACAAGCCTGCAGACTCAGAACGCCCGCCCCGGCTAATTAAGTGAAACCCGAATGCCGCCGCGGTCGGCCAATCTCGAACCACTAGCACTTGGCTGATCGGCACCTTCTCCTCCTTCTGCCTGCGCCTGGCGAGGATGGCCGTGTGCTGCTCTTGCAGCTTGCGCACCTGCCTGTCACTGTCCCCAAGATAAGGCAGGTGCGAAGCAAAGAGCTGATTGCCTGAGTATTCGGATTGGGCCTCCGCAAAGCCTGAAACAATCCCGAGACAATAGTCGAACACAGCCGCAGGCCGTCTATGACGACAAACAAACGACAGCGATAGAATCGGCACGTGAAGGTAATGCGGCAGTCACACTGCCAAGTCACTAGCATTCTGGGGACTTGTAGCTGTAAGAAACGCAGTCGGTCCTTAGGAGGTCTGCGGGCAGCGCGCCCACCGAGCTTCTTGTTTCCTGGCCGCCACCGGACGTCCTTGGCACGTGTTCGGAGAATGAGCTTCAAGCCCTTGTTGTCTCAGGTTTAGCGAAATCGCAGGCAGCACGAACAAAGAAACAACTTGCCGAACAGACGAGTCCTGAGTGTGGAATTCAAGCATGGCTTCGTGTCGACTTACGCCAATTCGGCCTAGGTGTTTCGAGCCCCGATACACCGATGTTACGTTGCTGATCGCGTTCGCAACTGAAAAGCAGTATTCGAAATCCGGGGTCATGGAGCAGGGCGAGACAGAGATCAAAACTGACCAGCTGGATCACGTGCAACGTTGACAGATGTTGATTTCCCCTAACTAGTTCAGCATGCACAGTGTTGTATGGTGCGGAACTGGGAAGGTAGCGGCTGAAGGCATGTGCCGCTGCTTCTGCAACCTAGACCTTTGCCGTTGCTGTTGGACTACATGAGACTACATACATTCTTCCAGGAGTCCGGATTCCGGGCAGTGGTCAAACCCACTGGGTTGGATTCCGCAACTTCCAACATAAGTGTACATGACAACATACAGCAACTGTGTGTAGCCATATGATGCGTGTGTGTGTGTGTATGTATATGTATATGTGTACACACACACATGCAAACACACTCCTTCTTTCTTTCTGTACATAGATATACGAATAGACATACTGTAAATACTAAAAGTATACACCGCTTGTACTGCAAAGTCTCAGTGCTCCTGTTATCCAGCATGTTCCTCCTGTCTGTCGCTAAATAGGTATGTGTGTGTATATATATATATACATAGGTATATACACATGTGTGCATTTTCATGCATGTAGATAGATAGATAGATGGATGGAAGGATGGATAGATAGGTAAATAGCTTGAAAATAGACAGATATTTGCAAAATGTACGATAATGTGCATCGGATGTTGCAAAGTCTCAGTACTGTTGCAACCCAGCCTGCTCCTCCTGTTAACGTATGTATGTATGTATGTATGCACGTATGTACAATGTACAAGCATAAGCATACATAAATACTTGTATTTACTACATACACACGCACGCACACAGGTATCTATCTATCCATCTCCGTCTTGCTTGCCAGGCGTTTGGGGTCGGGGGCGGCCCCCTTCCCCTGCGCTCCCTCTCTCGCTCTCTCTGTCTCTCCCTCCCCGATGATGTCTGGAGCGACTGTCGCTGTCAACCCTGGGCTAAGCGTAAGATCACCCAAACCTATCGGGTACATGTCGAGAACCCCGAAGGCACCGGAAATAAAAGGCAAACGAACCTCTAGTGCCCCCTTGCTCCCTACTAGGATACCGAAACTGCCCGAACTTGCGCAACCCTGTGCCGCGCACACAAAAGCCTTTAAGATCCTTTAAGGACAAGAATCGCAGAACAGAAACTCCCACAACCCCGTCAGGATGCCATGCCTCTTCTAGCTCAGAAAGTCTGCTCCCGATGTCTTTATACGACCTGGATCCCTTCAGCTCTCATGGCTGGACATACGAAATGGAAAAACGATACCCTAAAGACCTATACATAAAACATGAAGATTGTAAGTACTATGATATTTGCAACATGGGACAGTCTATTATATCATAACCCAATACTTGTATAGTCTTCAATGTAATGAGCCCCGGGACTCCTGGGACCAAACTTTGTCAAGACTTCCCCACCTAGAGCTCAACACACTCCAGGACCAAAGAAGAGCCCTCAGTCCACGCCTCAAAACGCCAAGGCACGGAGCGGAGCTGCATTTTGGTAGCCGCTTTGAAGGGATCACGGCGCGGCAGACCGGGCAGGGAAGCCCTGAGAAAGCTACAAAGGCTTTGCATAGAGCCTTAGGGGGCCTTAGGGGGCTTGGGATCTATGTAAGTTACATATGCTATGCCGTAGAAGGGCCAGGGGCGTCAGTCTTGCAACTCACTCCCGGCAAGCCAAGTCAGCAGCAAGAACCAACACAACTGGCAGGCGTTAAACTGCCTCACAGGGCCAGCACAGTGACCTCATTGGCTCAGTTTTTCGGGGTGGTTGCCCGCAGCCTCGCTCTGATCTTCTTATATAATCACTCGCCCTTGGAAGAGTTCGGATTATGGGGTTTCGCGGACGAAGGTTTGTCAGCACTCCTCCACAGCTCCCTCCCATCCCCCCTCCTCCAGACTCCACATCCGTGCTCTCGCGCAGCTCCTGGACGACAGCGGCAGTGTCACCAGGGCAGGGACAAATCAGGGAAAGAATTAACAAAACGTTTGAAACTCCAGAGAAGCCTGTTTACAAAACTCTACTTATGCCAGTTCTCAAGTTCCAGAGCATTTTATTGCCACCTTCGGGCAGCAAATCTCTCATACCACTTGTGTTGTTTGAGGATGCAGAGGATCCTTGACAATGAAGGCCCAGCATGCACCACCCCGGGATCCAGCCGAATGTAAGTTTGGAGTGCATGCAGTTTGTCGGTGCGCATGTCGGCATGCTCAAGTGCGCAAGCATATGTGTGTAGAGCAACAATAAGCATAGTCTTTTACTGATTATCTTACTGATTTCTGTAGACATGTGCAATAAGGGATCCTGCTCGATGGTGGAGTACTGTTCGGAGATGTCGGAGTGCTTCCTGAGGCGGACAAGTGCCGGGGTCTCTAGAAAAGGCCGCCCGTGATCTTAAGAGAGCCGAGCAACTGAGCCAGCCATACAGGCTCAGTGGCTCAGCCGTACATGTTGAAATCTCTTTTGCCTTGCAGAGAAGCTTAGCGGCTCAGCAAAGCTCTGAAGCAAAAGCAGGCCTGACTTTGAAACCCGAACCCAAAGCCACTCAAAGCCCTGAGGTCTTTAGGCAAAGCCACCCATCACAACAAAAGGCCCCCCAACCCCCCCCCCCCCCCCC